AGATCATGCTTAGTGAGATAAGCCAGAAAGAGAAAGAAAAATACCGGATGGTTTCGCTCATAGCAGGAGTATAATGGACCAGGCGAGAAAATAACAAGAATAATGAACAACCATATACCAGAGACATTTTGTGGGGTGGAGTGGAGAATGGGATCAAAAATGGGGTTGGGGAGGGAAGTGCACGGGATTATGGTGATGGCACACAGGTGACTTGGTGATGGGAAACCCGTGGGGATTACAATTGAGATTGGAAAAAAAATGTACAAAATGTTGTAAAAATAAACTGTTATAAAATTTAAAAAATAAAAAAAAAAGACTTTTTTTCAAGTAGATGGAACCAGTTAGGCTGCAAAAGCTCCTCCACTTCATCTAGCTTATGTTACCTCCTGTGGGATGGTGACAGTCCAATGCCTGGTCGCTTTGCATATAGTAATCGAATAGCTGGGCCAGGAGTAGAGTAGAGATTACAGAAAATGAACATAGCACCAACCAGAATTGACGATGCTGCCCGTCCATCCTGCCAAAGAAAATGCAATTGGGGGTAACTTCCACATCAAAATTAATTATTTGAACATCAAAATCTGTCCCAGCTATTTAAATCACAAATCAGCAAGGGAAGGCTTGTTTTTAGGATTAAACCGACTCTCCTCCAACCCAGAAGAAACCCAACAATATAAATATACTAGTTCATATAATTTCTGAAAGATAATCTAAACTTCAAAGCAACTTTTGATGTGTAGGGCCAAAATTATTGAGGTCTCTAGGTTTAAGGCTATATGTAAAGTATTGCTTTTAGGAATATGCTATAAAAATACTTCACCCAAAGTATATTTCTTTTTGTTATATAAAATTAAGAAGTTTAACTTGACTCAACCTTCTTCAGTGGAGGAAACATGCAATCACATGCCCACAGATGGTGTCCCAGTCTCTTTTTGAATGATTTAAGTGTCAAGGAGCTTACCTGATGCAGTAAAATCTAATTTACAAAGCTCTTCCTAAGATGAAATACATTGAACTGGAATCTATGCTGCTCAGTGATTCTCATGTTTCCTTTTGTCAAGACCAAGAGTAAACCTATTGCTTTCTCCCTGGAAAGCCCTTCACATTTCTTAAATACCATGTTTTTCCATCAACATTTTAATATTACAGATTAAAAATATACTCTATGATAATTACTGCTATATCTCAACTTGATTGGGCTAAAAGAGGCTGAAACAGCTTGAGGGTGTTTCTGGAAGAGATAAGCATTTGAATCAGAAGACTGAGGAATGAGCCTCATCAAAATGGGCAGATATCATCAGATCCATTCAGGGCTCATATAGAGTAAATAGCTTAAATAGAAAAGAGGTGAAGAGTGAACTCTCTTTTCTTGAGCTGGGACATTCATCTTCTCCTGCCTTTGGATATTAGAGTCCCTGGTTCTTGGACCTTATACCACCATCCTTGTGGTTCTCAGACTTTGGACTCAAACTGAATTATGCCCTTACCTCTCCTGAATCTCTACTTTTAGAGGGTATGGGGTGCAACTTCTTGGTTTCCATAACCATGTGAACTAACTCCTATTAAAAAACCTCTTTGGCCCTCCCTGGTGGTGCAGCAGGTTAAAGCACAGCACTGAGAAGCTAAAGCCACTTCCGCATGAGTTCTATTCCCGCCTGCCCGGGAGGTGACCACATGGCGCGGCAGACCTCTCTTGACCCGCCCACTGCTCCCCTCAGCAGTGTATTTCGTCAATCTGCCTGTTCTGCTTCCCATTCTGACTCTGGTGAAGCCTCTCACCACCCCTGAGCCTCTGGCCTGTACCCCAGTTCTGTATGTACAAATAAATAAATCTTAAAATATCTTATATATTTCTCTATTTTATAATATTGATTCAGTTTCTCTGGGGAAACCTAATACACATTCTGTTTCATGCTTCCTCCTTTGGTATTCCATCTTAAGAAGCATCATAGTAAGTAAATATGACATAGTAATTTATAAGAAACATGTATTTGGTTTCCATCCACAGTTCCTGGCTCACAACCTAGTCTTGGAAATTCCTAAGTATTGAGAATATCAAAGATGTTTCTTGTTATTTAATGAAGGCAACTTCTGGAAAATATCTGAGAATGCTGTGGTTAGAGCACTGGAACTTCCAGGTCCATCCCTACCTCTAGACTGCCAGGCAAGGCAAGGAGCTAAAGGTTTAATTGAATTAGCAATGATCAATAAGTTAATCAATCATGCCTATGCAAAGAAGATTCCATAGAAGTCCAAAGTAAAGGGCTTCTGAGAGTCTCTAGTTAGTGAACAAATGAAGATGTGGGGGAGAATGGCCTGTCTGGAGAGAGCATGGAAGTTCTGTACCATTTCCCCATAACTTGTTCTGTGCATCTGTTCCATCTGGTTGTTCTTGGGTTACAGCCTTTGAAATAAATCAATGATCTGGTTTGTAGATAGATGGCTTTCCTGAGTTCTGTGTGCTGCTCTAGCAAATTAATGGAACCTAAAGAGGGTGCCCTGGAAACTTCTGATTCATAGCCAGTTGGTTAGAAGGAGCACGACAATAATGTGGGCTTGAGAAGAGCATCTAAGTCTGAGAAGGAGGTTCTACGAACTTCCAGTCTGTAGCCAGTCACTCAGAATCCAGGTAGCAATTTAGTCTTCAGTAAATGAAAGTCTCGAAAACTAAGCTCCTTACCTGTGGAAAGTGATGCCATCTCTAGGTAGATATTGTCAGAATTGACATGAATTTTTGGACACCCTGCTGGTATCTAAGAATTGTTTGTTGATGTGAAGGAGACTCCACACATAGCCTCCTCAGAATTGAAAACAAACATAGTGGACTTCCTCTGATCAGACTCCAACTTTAAAACCATTTAAATGTGCTGCCCAGATGTGAAATGCAAGGAAAGAGATGCATTCTGTCCAAACTAGAGAGGAAGTATCATCTTCCTTGGAGTGGACAATATGTTTATTGATATACCACCAGGTCAAAGTAGTTCCAATGCAGGATTAAAAAACTGTAGGGTTTTATTGATCTTTTTCATCCACTAAAAAACTAAATTCTTTTTCAGATGCTATGTTAAGCTAATAGAAAAATGGATTTTATCTTTAGAGCCAGAATCCATTTACTTTTATGCTGTGTTTAATTTCACACTGTTGGTTTCTGCTAAATAACCAACTATGAAAAAAAACATTTTAAATGCAAATTCATATTATCCTCCAAGTTCTGAATAATTGATAAGTTTGATCTCCACATCTTTAGAGCTGTTCATTAAAAGGCCAACCAAATAGAAACTTCTGTGAGGATGCTGATCTATTAATCAGCTAACTTTATTTTTTTATTTGTATATTTTTGCATCATTTTTCATTTTTGTACAATGCATAATTTCTCATCCCAATCATAGTCCCCATAAAATTCCCAACACCAATTCACCCCTGTACCATCACCACTGTCCCTTGTTCTCTTCCCACCCCTGTTTTGATCTTATTCCCCTGTCACTCCCTGCAGACTGTCTTTGGTGTATAGTTGCCTGTTGTTAATGAGCTAACTTTAAAAGCAGATACTCATTCACAATTCAACTAAGTATATAACAACCTAGTTCAAATTTCTCTACCTTGAATATAAGAAACTGAGAAATACTTTGCAACAATAAATCTAAAATCCTATCTCTAATTTACTAGTATTGCTGCAAAAAGTTCAGTTGATTTGATATACATGGTTCATAATGAACCAATGTGGATTCCTCTTTCTTAAGAATTTAAAGTTATCTGTGCAAAAGGCACAAAATGATGTAAAAATAAACTATTATATTATTTTAAAATATAATATTGGGAAAAAAACTCATCTGTGCAAATACTTATATCAGAAATTTGCCTTGAACTGCTCCTCCAAATGCTCACCAGATATAACATCTCCAGAATCAATCTCCTTTGTCATTTTGCGGGGGGAAAAAAATCTCTCTTCACTTGACTGGCACCTCTTTTTCCTGTTTCCCATATTTCATAAGGAATCAATTCATATTTGCTTTTCTAAGTGTTTTCAGTATTCTGTTACATAATAACTCTTGTGCTGTGAAATTCTTTTATGATCTTAACAGTTTTATCTTAATTATCACTGTTAGCCCCTTTCTTTCTTGTCATTAGTTTCTTCTGATAAAGGAAATAGAATAAAGAAGTTAAAATTATACCATGTACCTAAAAAATTTATTGTCCTTACCCCAAGGATAGTTATATTTTTTAAAGACATTTTTCTCAAACTTAATTCTGTTTAGAATTTAGCTTGCCTCACATTCAAGTGCAAATGTCTCTTCCTTTTATCTGTCATGCAAGTATTATTTTAAGTTTAATTTTTATCAAAAGATAAGCATATGCCTACTATTTTCAATAAAATAGCAGTGTATATAGAATGTAAGTAAAACTCCCACCTCCAGGTTTCATACCATTTCCAAAAGACTTGTCACAGATTTTCAGCTACGCAGGTCCTTTTTAGTGACACAAGAGTATAACCTGTCTCTTCTTCTTCACTGGCTTTTTATTTTTTGTGACTATATCATGAGAACTGTTCTTTCGAGTCAACTTCCCTTACTAAGTCACCAGACTTATGCTCTTTGCACTTTTAGAAAGTTCTTGAAGGAAGAGAAAATCATCAAGGTGCCTAACGGTTACTTAATCCCTAAAAGTAACCTGTGACACAATCTGTTTTACCTCTGAAAGGAAACCCTTTGGTCCATAACACCAAATTCCTATGAACACCAAGTGTTCCTTTATTGTCGAGAGTTTGAGATGTGAAGTAGAAAGAAGAAAATTTGTTTGTTTTTTTTTTAACATTCCTCCCTTTTTCAGCCAACTACTCTTAAAATGGGTATGGGGCAGGAATAACCAAGAAAAAATAAAACAAAACAAGCCACTCTGAAGTTTACAGAAGCAATGTATAGCGCCAATAATTCTGCTACAATTTTACTTGTATTTTCATCTGGGCAGGTGTTCTGTCACTTATTCAGACCTTCCATACCTGGGGCACAAAGGTAAGGAAGATAAAGTTGTTGTCCACAAGATGTTCATGTGGCCTAGTAGAAAAACAGGCAGGTCAGAAAGATATTTAGATATATAGGTGCAATGTTCATAATGTGAAAATACTCGCGAGTCAGAAAAATTGTACTGAAATTTGAGATTAAAATGATGGGTGGGAGGCCTCCAGAGGAAGGACTGAGAAGAGAGATGCTTAGAAGTCTAAGAAAATCATCAACTCAATGGAAATAACTGTCAAATACAGTTAATTTATGTGATGACTTACAAGGGCATAGATATATTAGTATCTCATCTTTATTCAAACACAAAATGTAAGAAATATTCTGATGTATTTTTGTCAGTTTTATTCATATGAAACTCAAGGGCATTCTTCCCTGTCACTCATAGCTCTTGGTCCACCTCTTTTATAATTTTTTGCACACTGGAAAGACCCTGTATTCAGTGGCTGTTCACATAGCTGCTTCTTCCACTAATAATGGAGTCAAAAGCAAAAAATAGCACATTCCTCCCTCATTTGCATTCTTTGTTCACATCACCTAATTCCTAGGTAGCGGCTCAATAAAGGCTCATTCAACTTGAATGTTACTGTTCCCACAAACAGCAACAACAAAAAAGGTTACTACTTACCAAGCAGTGGACAACACAAACATTTTTGGGATTCTGTAGTAGCCAGTTATACATATTCCGACACACAGCAAAAAGGTTGTGCAGACTGGGGGCCTGCCTGATGGGCCAACTGCATTCTGAGACCTGTGGAAACACAGCAAAAGATATGAATTGCTCTTCTGACTTCCTTCCCATAAGCAGGTGTCACACCAAATAACTTCTGGAAGTGATGGTGTATTTCTTATAACAAACCCTATGAATCCAGGAAGAGTGCACATACAGAAAGCATTGCTGAATGTAGAGATACATACAATTTAAAAACATTCCTTTTCAGGAAAGCTATAAAAACTCATCCTGAAATACATTTTAAAATTCAACCAGGCCACTTAAACAACATATGTGGGTTTCTTTTATAATGTAAAGTTATACTGAATTCAAATTCTAGGAAATATAAAATGTTTAGACCTGCCTACAAGATGTTTAATTGTAGGATTATTTTATAGTAAATGCATGACCCCTAACTTAATCCCATTCTTATGACAACATGAAAAGTTTTGCCTAGTGAGCCAAAGGTGTGTGGACTGTGGCTTATTTCTTTTTGTCTCCAAAGAGGCAAACATCAGTATTTTCAGCCACTGAATTAACACAGAATCCCTGGAATTCTGCTTGGTTCTGATCTATACAACACTTATATAAGACAGGTAGTAATATGATCCCCATTGTGCAGATGAGAAAACTGAGTGCCAGAGGTTGCCTTGTCTTTCTAAAGTCACACTGGTGGTAGTACTAGCACTGCAACCTAGGTCTTTAGAATACATATGGTAGACATAAGCTTTAATTGACTGAAATTTATTGAGTTAACTAATGAAAAATAAGTTTGGACTTGTGCAAGCTTTGTGACTTGTGTAAGTGCCAGCTTATTGTCAAGTTTTAGTCAAGATAACTGCTCATATCTGTCTCCTTCTACAGACACTTAGCTCCCTGTGAAGAAAGACCACCATTCATTTTTGTAATACAAATCCAGTGTGTAAGCTCTAATCAAATGACAATTGTGCAGTGGGATTTTCTGAGTAAATGAATGAGAGAAAGAATGAAGGCATGAGCCCATCATCTGACAATTGCTTCTTTTAGTAAGATTTGTCTACATGTGCAATGTCTTGAGAAAGGGACATATGCATCATTTTTACTAATGTTTTTAACTGCAACAATGTAAAAGCATAGAAAATGTATTTTCCCAAGTAGTATTTATAAACCTTTTAGAAACTGTATGCCGCTCATTCAAACACTAAATGTCAGTATCTATAATGAATCTTAGCTAAAAGTTGGCTAAATTGTTCTTAACACAATAGGAAAACAGCTCTGGAATCATTAAATCAATCAAGTAAATAATATTAATTTAAAGTACTACATAATTACATATTTACTTGATATATAATTATACATCATTAAGCTAACATACAATTAGATTTTTATAAAAGTGTATGGCTCTGTCTAAAGGAGCAAAAACATTAAGGAATAAACATAATCAAATAAAACAATGTTTTAAGGAATTAGATCACTGCACAGTATTTTTGGAGTTCTCTGGGGTTCATAGCTTCATGCAATAAGCACAATCCTTGAATATATGATGCTTCACGATACTGTCTCCAGTCTTCAGTTTGGAGCTTCTGAGCACCAGAGAAGCTCTGTGCCTCACAAGCTACCATATACCCCACAGTGGGAAGAGGCCAAAACAGCACTGGAGCTAGATGCCACTCAATTCTCATCTTCCCATTGTGTGAGAAGGTGGCATAAGCATCTCACTTGTTGCTAAGATCAAAGGATGCTATGGAGAATCACTGAAGAGTCATATCAGTGATATAAGTCTCTGGCACAATTTTTGGAGGACAGGGATATTTCAGCCAACCATTTATCATGGCATTATATTATTGCCAATGTTAGAATTAGCTACCACTGAATGCTTACTGAATGCTTAAGGCTAAGCCAGACACCGCTCTCAAACTTACTCCTTACAGCATATCTACAGGAAAAAATTCCAGGTATTTATAATTTATTCTTACTGTCGTTCCCACTTTAAACAGGAAAAAATTGAGACTCTGACGAGGTGAAGTGACTTACCCAGAAAGAGAAACAGCTGAAATGTTGAAATGAACTCACAATAATTTTTAGAGTTTCAAATTTTATTTTAAAACTAATAAAAATGTGTATACTTCCTATAATATAGTAATGTTTAATGACTGATTGTGACTACAATTTCATCTTATAATTGTGGAGTGGTTATGGCTTCATGTGATGATTATATTTTGCCAACATTAAGGCATTTAATTCTATGAAGTTTACAGAAACTGTAATTTGGATATCCCTGATCCTCTGGCTCCCAGAACAAGAGTCTTTTTTATTTTTCCTTTTCCACTATTCCCCGTCCTGCTGCATGGTGGCAGAGGGAAAGATGAAGCATAAGATGTAAAGACTCTTCTATAACTACCCACACCGGCAAACCAAAAGCAGAAACAACTAAGAACTATGGTGACCCCTCTGGAAAGAAAAGATGGGGCAAAGGCAAAAGTTAGACTTGCAAATAATTATAAGTCCTCTAAGAAGTCCAAGTTGTTTCTAAAGGGGAAGAAATCCTACAAGATCATGTAGTTTAAAAAGAGCAAATGGAGAAGGATTCTAAAAGAACCAGCTGGGTTTATTTTTCCTATGCTACTGACTGAGCTCAGGATACTTTCCCTTCCAATACCATGCCACAGAGGAACAAGGAACCCCAAAGCACTGACCTGAGTATGAGCACTTCAGTCCAGCTTAGATGCTGGCCATTCATCCAGGTTTCTATTTATCACTAACAATACCAAGAAATGTTCCTGATATTGTGGGGGCACAGCCACTAACTTTCTATGCAGAACTTGAATCGGGTACACACATTTATATATACCCAATAGTGAATGAATGCAGTGTTTTTTTGGAAGATGATGAAAAAGGCTTGGGTAGAGACAGTGTTGATATGTATACAACAGTGTGATCTATTTAATGAAGCTAACTTGTATACTTACTACTGGTTAAAATGAATTATGTAATGCATATTTTACCACAATTAAAACAAAAAGGAGTGGAAGCACGTGGTTTAGCTCTCTAAAGCCCGTCCATGTAGCTAAGACAAAGTGGACATAGGTCTTCTTAACTCAGATTCTGTACTGCTGGTTTAGATGGTGCATTTTGTTGGTCTCCAAGACTTTATTGTAAACACTGCCACTTTTTTATTTCCTCAAGGTAGATACTGGCTAAGTCAAAAGACTGCCACTCAGAACTTTCTCTACAATTTTGAAAAGTTATTCTAGTACCTCACTCTCTATGCAGTGTTATCTACCAAGTGTCATTTGGAGTTGGATGAGTTGATAAAACTGAAACTAAATACAAAATCCTATTTTAAACATTGTTACATATGCAAATACTAAGAAAACTGTTATTTGATGGTTTCATATGATTCTTGTCAGTCCACATGGTATCTACACATAAAAGCTAATTGAAATACAGAATGGAGTCCTTCAGGACCAAAATTCCTTACCCTGCTGTGAAACTTGGCAGTTCTATAAGACTTGGGTGACAGATTGTATACTGTGTAGTGGTCAAGATGTCGGGAATCCAAGAAGCTTCGAATGTCATCAACCTGATTCCTGAATCCTATGTCAACACTGTCCAGAGGAAAGGACATCACTAGGAGGTGTGACATAGAAAAAACATAGGTTAAACCAGTCTGCTGTCATGATGAGCAGCAACTGAAAAGTGATCGGTTGAGCAGTTAACATGAGAAACTTACCAATAATTCTGGAGGTAACATAAGTGAAGTCTAAATCCCCCTTCGTGTAGCTAAAGGCAAGACAGGAAACAGCACTCATTAAATGATCGAAATATGCCAAATTTCTTTTTCAATCACTTTCCCACATGACCTGGGATCTTCGACTCAGCTGGCATATTCTGGCCTATTTCGACCCTTCACTCTAACAAGGAGAGAAGATAGCCCATAGTCCCAGAGTGTAAATCCACTATTCCAACAGGTGCATCCCAACACTTTTTACAGATGCTACTTTCTGAACAGAAGCAATATCAGGATAGAAAATACTGCTTATTTTATTAACACTGATTCCCTCACTCTCTTTGCAAGAAAGTATTGCCCGTAGTGTGAGCAGCTAGTGGGTAAGATGTGATGCAGAAAGAACAAAGGGATCCCTAATTCTCCCCTAATTGGGAACTGGAGGTAAGGGATACATTTTAACTTTAAACAGAAAAATTACAGTCATATATTTGACTTGACTTTTGAATTTCTCATTCAAAACTTCACATTGTTAAAATAACCCTAAGCCTTCTAATACCCCAAAATAGTTGTATTTGGCCGGTTTTGTAAGAATTTTCATACTGTAAAAGGATAGAAGACTGCTCCCACCAAATGAATTTTAAAAGGCTACTGAGTTACAAAACCAAAATTCTTCACTGGTTATAAATCATAAGTATTGTTTGTTAAAATGGCATGTACATATTTTCTTATCTAATTCTCAAACCACCCAAAGATATAAGTCTTACCAGCATATAAAATAAGGATTAAAGTGGTTCATTCACTGGTATAGATCACATGGCTAACAAGGGAAGATACTGCACTAGAACCCAGGATGCTGGAGTCTTAAAAGTGCAAACTTATCCTCTAACATCCCAATGAGCTGAGTCCTCCCAGCTTGTGCTAATCATTTCTGAAGGACCTGGCTTTTGGCTTCAGTAACATTCTCCAGTCAATTTCATCCCATGTAATTTAGAGCAGAAAACCAAAAGTCTTTGAGCCAGATAAGCAGTTGGTAGGTAAACAATATTTGGGAGGACAGACTTCCATCAACTCTAAAGAACATACATACCTGGTAACAGATTGTATAACTCTAGAAGATGTGTCTTTGAGAGTATCTTTCAAGTTGTCCTTGAGGTTACTAAAGAGCCTCCCTGCACCTCCTTTCACCATGTCAAAGAGACCTCCTCCATAGCTGGGCTCCATGTCTGGAGATGAAGCACCTGTCAATGAAAAATAGAAAAGTAATAGTACAACCTACAAGGAAATCCATATACAGATTGGGTTCTGTCTTCAGGAGTCTAGGAAAAACATTCCTGAGGTGTACATCCTGCACTCAGAAATTACTGACTCTGGCCCTCAGAAGCCAAGGCAAGGCCCTCACTGAGTCTCATGAACAGAAATCTCCAGTGTCCAACACTGTAACCACTGGCCATATGTGCCAACTGAGTGCTTGAAATGGGCCTGGTCCAACTTAAGATATGCTGCAGTTATAAACCACACACCAAATTTCAGAGTAGGGAAAAGAAAGGAATACAAAAGAAGTTGAATTGAATAGTTAATACTATTAAATCCATGTCGCCTATTTCTTTTAACTGTGGATATTAGGAAATTTCAAATTGTGTATGTGGCCTGTATTACACTTTCTTCAAACAGTCTTCAGAGAGACTGTTGAGGAATAGCAGCAGTCAACTTAGGCCTTTGCTTCCATGCAGTCCTCTGTCTGAAAGACCCATCCCATGCCTATGTGCAAACCAGTTTACCCTCATCATGATAAGAACCTTGTGAAGGACCTTTGTAGTAGCTCATAGGAATGAGGATGCAAGGTGTCCTTGGTGTTACTTGTCAAATATTTCAGGTTCTCCTCCCTTACAGCTCATAAAATTGTATTTTCTGGCCCCAGCTCTAATCCTAGATTTCTCAACCTCGGCACTACTGACATTTAAAGCAAAACACTTCTTTTTTGGAGTGGAGGGGCATTACCTTGTGCATTATAGAGTAGTTAGCAGCATCTTTCACCTCCTACAGCCATTAGATAACACCATTAGCATCTCTCCCCTACAGGTTGTGACAATCAAAATATTTCCAGAAATCTGGGGGGCAAAATTAGCCTGGTTGAGAACCAGTGCTGTTGCTAGTCTATGATATGAATCTCAGCCCTTCTCTCCCTCTCTTTTTCTCTTTCTCCTCCTCATTCTCCCCCTCTTCCTCCATCTTTTCCCCTCTCCCTCATCCCACCCCATAACAATCAGCAAAGTTTGAGATCTTTCCTGATCTGTCCAGAACCCCTGAATTAAGACTACAGACTTGTGTGGCAGAGCTCCCAGCTGACCTCTGATGAATGTGTAGCATGAATGAGCAATAACCCTTTATTATTCAAAGGCATCAATATTTTGCGAATATTATTATCAACGTACAACTGAGTTTATAAAGATTGATACAGGCAAGAGTAGAGCAGGTTAATGGAACCAATGGCTAGGGTGACTATGGACAGCCTGGCAGTCAAAAGCATGAGTCATTCTCAACAAGGTCCTGGCCCAGTCTTGCTATTCCTAATTGGGTGGTCACAGTCTTTCAAAACCTCCTTCTCCCTGTCTGTAAAATTAAATTTAAAATAATACTTGCTTTGTAGGTAAAATTAAATGAGTGCAAATAAAGCTATTAGCATAGTGCCTGATATATCTAGGAGTCCATGGATTGGAGCTATATGTTCATATGGCCCACCCTGACATTTTTATACTGATATTTTAAGTCTTGGTTAATTTATCAACTATATGTGGTACCAAAGGTCAATAACAACATCTATTCTTTTTAAAAAGCTCCAACACTTATTATGCGCTTTAAAATGTGTAAAGAGCATAAAACTTAAGTGCTCTTACCAAAAGTAAAACACAACACAAAAGAACACAAGGATGCTTTTAGAAAGACATATTTAGTGTCCTGGTTAAGGTGATAATAGCATGAGCACATATGCATGTACAAAAGCATTAAGATGCAAGCACTAAGTGTATGCAATATTTTATATATCCATTATATTCAATAAAATTTTAAATAAATTGTAAGAAATAGAGAGTTGAAAAAGAATTATCTGTAGATTTTTAAAATGTCTTAAAAGCAAATCAACTGAGCATACTGTGTGGACTTTATCTGGAATTTAATTCAAACAGTGTAAAAAATTAATGATACTTAATGAGCAATTGTAATTTAAATCCTTATTAGGTATTTGATATTGTTAAATTTCAAGGCATTATATTCAAAAATAGTCCTTACATTTTAGAATAAATACTGAAGGATTTATGAATTAAACATTTACAATGTTTAAGATTTTTTAAGTAAATAAAGAATCATAAGAATACTCGTGTAATAAAAACTAATTGCAAAAAGCTATATAGCTGTTAGGATTTGTCTAAGCATTGTACCTATATTCATTCATTGTATCCTCATAGTCTGCATATGAAATAGATAATATTATTCTCTTTTATAGATCAGAAAATGGGCACAGTGGTTAAGAGATTTGTGTGAAGGTGTATAGATAGTGAGTAAATAAATGACAGGAGAGATTTGTATCCTAGAAACCCTTCCAATTATATCCTTCTTTGTTCTCCCAATATTATTGTGAATTTGATATTTATCATTGCAAATAATTTCTTTAAGCTTTTATTACCTATGTAAATATCACTATCCATAAGAAATATATTATTTTCCATGCTTTCAAACTATATATAAATGGTTTTCTATTTGCATTACTGTTTAAAATCCACCTATGCTGATACCCCATATAACTGTAGCTCACTTAAAATATGCATCCATTAACTCACTGGTGGCCACTAAGATTATTCCCCTTAACAGTATGATTATGAATGCAGTAGCTTGATTACATATAGGAGATTCTCTCTAGTGTATTCCAGGGAGTGGAATTTGCTGGTAAGTAAGAAATGCACAGCTTTGAATTTCTAGATATTGACAAATCATTTTCCAAACTAGATCAGTTTAAATTCTTGCTAGTCATGCATATGTACTCCCTCATTCTACATGCCCTTAGCCCTCAGAATTGTCAAACTTTATTCTTTTACCAACCACTATAGTGAGCATGCAGCTATATCTCATGTTGGTCTTAAACTGATTTCCCCAATTACAAATGCAGCAGTATACCTTGTATTTATTGGCCAGATAGCCACTGAACTTCCTACGTATAATTTAGATGTTCATACATATACCTCTAAGTACACATTGACTTATGTCTATCTACCCTGATCACATGGGTTACTGCTAAGTCACTATGAGGTACCTACTTGAAAATGAAGTTCCACTAGAAACTTCAAAGAACAATCAATGATGGTGAATAAACCAATGAATGGACACACAGATAAACATTAATATATATCACTTAGTGACTCTCCTCACCTAAGAACTTCCCTTGGAATTTTATGTCAGTACAAATTCAGAGTGGGAGGTAAGAAGAAATGAAGGCTCAAATAAAAAAGGAACTCACCTAAGATTATTAGTTTAGCTGACTAGGGATAGAGCCTGGAATTCAAACTGAGATCTGTACAGTTCCAAAGCCTCTACTATATCTACATCACACACTACAGCTCCATAGCAGTTCACAATTGTAACAGCTGTAATTAGGGCAGTCATTACCTGCCTTGTATACAATCACCACATGCCTTCTCCCTGTTCTCCAACTTCTACATGTATGTCTTTCATTTGGTTGCTTTCATCTGGTTGCTTTCAGCAGCAGCTATCTGGGCAACAAGCACACTTATAAATCACTGTGTCTGTCAGGCCAACCAAGCAATCACACTGTGTCAGTAGCCTGAGTTCCAATCACCCCCACTGGCTTATGGCCCTGAAAAAGTGTCAAGATCTGTTCTGATGGGCAGCTCCACAGGTTAGGGGCAGAGCTACAAATATGAGTTTGTTCTATAGGATTCTGTGACCCAATGATATAAGGCGCATTGTTTTCCTTTAAACACACCCCATACAAAAATCTGTAGAGTGTTTTCATTTTAAAGATAGTGAAGCTAGAGTAGCATAAAATGTTTATAATTATCTCATTTTCATTTGCAGTTACTCCTCTGGCCTGATCACCCTTCTGATATTATTACTGTTCCAAGAGATGATCTCAAATTGATTATCCAGACCGCTCTCCAACTCTCAATTTCATGCTAGAACAAAACTCAGGAGGCATGAGCCTATTAAATGTTATAAATATCCTTGACTACCTAAAAAGCAGACCCTTATCATCTCTCAGGCTGAACACTGTGTTCACTGGAGCCTTGGAATCCTGATGAAACTAGAATCACTTGTCAGAGTTCATCTGTAACTTCAGAGACCCAAATCACACATCCAACTAGTCAGGACACAAAAACAGAGGACATTTTCGGTACTTGTCCTAATGCTCCCTTAAGTAGGTATTCTGACTCTTCTTAACAAGCTACATGAAGGCCAGAAACACAGATTCTCCAAAGGATATTTGAGCCTCAGCTAGTTGAGAAGAAGAGCAGAGGAGTTTCCAAAAATGACACAACAAAAGGGAAATGATGCAGTCAGAAAGGAAACGTCTGCAATAGATCGTCAACAAACCACATCCAATCTGCTTCCTACTTTTGCACAGTCTGAAAAAAGAACAGCTTTTGCATTTTTTTTTAAGATTTATTTATTTGTGCACACAGAACAGGGGTACAGGCCAAAGGCTCAGGGGCAGTGAGAGGCTTCACCAGAGACAGAGTGGGGGGCAGAACAGGCAGATTGAGGAAGTACACGGCTGAGGGGAGCAGCGGGTGGGTCAAGAGAGGTCTATCAGCCATGTGGTCACCTCCGGAGCAGGCGGGAATAGAACTCATGCGGAAGTGGCTTTAGCTTCTCAGTGCAGTGCTTTAACCCGCTGCGCCACCAGGGAGGGCCCGCGTTTGCATTTTTTAATGAGTGCAGAAGTCCAGAGGATAATGTTTAATAAAGTGAAAACAATGTCAAGGTCATACTTCAGTATCTGTAAATAAAGTTTTATTAAAATAGAGCAAGTCTATTCTTTCATTTACATATTGTCCAAGGCTGCTTTCATGCTATGGTAAGATGAATAGTGTGCCATGGAGTCTAAAGTGTTAGCACACCCTCCTGCTCCCTGGTCTAGACACTTGGAAAAATGTACATCCTTAGGAATCCAGAGTTTGCCACCTTTGAACTTTTCTAAATGTTTCAACTAAAGTGGCACTCAGTAAGA